GCAGTACGAAATAAAATTAAGTTCAGAAGGTAATACAGTGCTGTTTCTATGGAAAAGACCTCTATTGTTGCTATTATTTGCGTTTAAATTTTATTCAGAATTGTCTTACCTCGAAAAATTGTAAATAACAAATTTATTATTTAAAAGTTGCTTTAAATGATCTAAAACGTCGACATTTGAGGAAATTTTAACATAAAAAGCAACGATCGCAATAGCCACCAAGCTCGAGATAGAAATCTACAAATTTTATAATTGCTTTTCCTAGTTTTAGAGTAATTTTAATGGTTAACGAAGCTTGTTTCTAAAAATTTACTCGATCATTGTTTTTCCAGTTTGAAAACCTCTATAATTTAAAATTTACCATGTTAAGAGTCTTCTGTACCCACTGCACCCAATGTAAATTTCCATAAGAGCACCCGCCATAAAAACTAGTTGTTTTTCAAAAAAAAATTTTTTTTAAGAACTATTTTATAAATTTAGACCTTTATCTACAAAATGTTCGGACTATTTTTTTTAAAGTGTATAGCAACTGAATATCGATTGTTTAAAGGTTAGCTGTTTTGCGCCGATTATTGCGCTAATCTAATTTTCTTACTCTAATTTTTTTACTCGCGATCAAGACGATTTATGGAAAAAGTAAACCGACAGTTTTTTAGATAAGTTCCTTCTAAACATTACCCCAAAAAATGAAATCATATTTTTTGTAAATAAAGTCTGTATCTTGGCGGGCGGTAAATCAACAATTTCAGTGTAACAAGTGGCGCCGCTGCTCAGTGTCGGCGGAATCTAACTAAGGACCAAGACAGGAGTTGACAAAGCAAAAATACCATCTTGTCTCTTGCAACTATAATCGTCTATATACTATAATAATGTAAAAAAGTTGCGCTTGGGTAAAGAAGACTCTTAATAGCATTTTTCTTTATTCCCACTGTGTGTTTCTGTATTGTTCTTCATACTTTTTCTTTCATCCTCTCGCCAGGGCATATTATACGTAATTTACATTGTCTAAGTAAACCTTGCAACTTGTCATCTTTTTCTTTTCTTTTTGGTTGTTTTCGTGGTAAACCTTGCAACTTGTCATCTTTTTCTTTTCTTTTTGGTTGTTTTCGTGGTTAGGTGGAAGATCAGCAAGAGGAGCTGTCTCCCAATGCTGAACCTCGCCACAGGTTTCTTTACCTTAATTGAAATTTTTGTTTTACATTTTGTTTTACATTTACTTTATATATTTATGCAAGGTAATGAAATAAAGGCATTTATTATTTATTATTATTAATATAACTGATATAAGAAAGGTCCTGGTACCCCCTATCCTAAATAATAATATAATAATAAATTAATAATACGCGGTTACTCCCCTTAAATTTGTGTGTAACAATAGAAATATAAAGAAAAGTTAACTTCAGGGAAAGGGACTACATTCAGCGCACAAAACGCTGTTCTTCCATGTAGCCCCCATACAAAATATAACTTGACCTTTTTTAAGTAGTATTAGTACTTTTAGCTAGTACTATTTTAAATTTTTTATGTATTTGAGTGACAAGTATTCGAATACTTTTCAAAGTATTCGAATACTTTTTATAGTACTTATTCGAATACCTTTGAAAGTTTTCAAATACTTCTGAAAGTATTCGAAAACATTCTAAAGTATTTGAATACCTTTCAAAGTATTTGTATTTAGTATTTGGTTGTGCTGGACGTAAAAGTATTTAGTATTCAAATACTTTTTGAAAGTATTCTGCCCAGCTCTGTTAACGACCCTCGAAATCGTTTATAATTTTGTATTGCTGTCTGTCTGTCCGTGTTCACGATAACTTTGTGTAGAGACGTCCGATCGCTTAGAAAATTGATACACATGTTCTTCAGGATATAAGAAGGTCTAGGAAGGACTAACGGGCCAAAAAGTTACATCCCAAAAACTGCCCAAACCTCCAAAAAGGGCTTCTTTTATGATTCTTGTTCATGAATGTCCGGTTTTATGCGTTAAAAATATTCTTTAAACCTCATCAGGTAACTATGCAGTTTAAAAAAATTGCGCATGCGCAACCCAACTCTTGTATTTGCGCAATCTCAATTTTTTAATCTGTTAAGATATTTAAATGAAATTTTATACGTTGTTTCGCCGCATCCTGCTCTCGTATCCACCGCTACTGGACCAGCTGACGGGTTGTTCTCGTAACTCGCTAGTTGGCATCTGACCACAGTATTCAAATCAGTCGGCATGAAATGAGTTGATCAAAAATGCCCCTGGCTCACGGACTATCACTGGTCCAGCCGCCAACACGAAATCTAAAACTTTACTTTTTCACACGCACTCTTGGGCACTCCTTCTGGCTCGGCTTCTAACATGGAACTACCCAAACCCTGCTCAAAAACACCCTTCCCTTTTCGTTCACATTCCGTTCAAGAACGTTCAAAAACCAACCAATCAGAAAATCATACCCACCTTCTGATTGGCTAACCATCCTGAACTACTAAACGATTTAGTTGTAATTATTATTATTATTATTATTATTATTATTACCTACTTTTCCAGTCGATCTAAGGGGCGTATTAACATTTCGTCCTTGAAAAACGACAAAATTATCGTTAACACTATCGTTACAGACTTAAAAAAGCGCTGTACAACATTTGGTGTTTTCTTTACAAAGAGCCATAAGTTTTTTTAGTCGTGACTCTTGGCGTATATTAAACATTTCAATTCAATTCATTATTCAATTCAATATTTATTTATTATCTCTGACAATGTGAGCCATTGCATGAGATACCTACGTCAAATGTACACAGTATAAACATATAACTCCACAATTTAAAATACTAGAACACGTTAAAATAATTACAGAAAAACTAGTTTTTCTAGAATTTACTAGAACTAGAATTTAAAATTTACATATTTGCTATAAATAGGTTTTAAGCCAGGGGTAGGCAACGGTCATCCCGGCGATTCCCATCCCGGCATCGATTTCCCGACGACAAGCCATCCCGGTTCTTTATGTTAAAAAAAACAAAAGAGAGATGAGGTTGGACAGACGGCGTTAGGAAAGTGTGCATTGCCAGGATAATCGATGCCGGGAAAGCAATAGTCGCCGAGATAGATCGTCGCCTGGATAGTAATGGTCGCCGCGATGAGTTGTCGCCCGGAAATCGGTGCCGGGGTGTACGTCGCCGGGATTTACATCGCCGGGACGGGATGCACCGGGCAAACCTTTCCTACAAAAAGACCACGTAATAATGTTATTGGTTTAGCAGCGAGAGTCGTATTATAATCGTAAACCCTTTCGGACCTGGTGAAATTAGAAAATTTTTCACAGTTTTTCAATTCCAAAAATAAAATAATTGCAAGAAACTTTTCCAAAACTCAACCATCGAACGTGATTACCATATTCTAAATCTTTCAAAAATGAAATCAACGTACGAAGATTTAATCCTCTCGATAAATAAAATCAACAGTAGGTATTACTTGCCCAACAGTTTTGGATAACTCTTAGCTGGATACTGCAGTAAATAATTTTTTTTATTTTGCCTTTATTTTTGAGTGGGCGAGGTTTCAGCCAAGGCTGCTCTACCAACCCAACCCACTATACATTTACAAATATCCATGCCCGGATCCAGATTCGAACCAGGGACCCTTTAGCACCACAGTTCAGCTTTAACTGAACTGCGCCACACGGGCCGTTCTGAAAATTGTGACCTAATAATAGGTACATTTCACCGAAGTGCACTAAATCTGACAAGCGTAAAGGGCTTTAAATGCTACGTTTACCAAGTATTAGGCAAATAGAAAAGCCTTTAGGGATCGCGCATATGTCTTCTGATGTATGTTCCTTTAGTTAGATCCCCAAAAAGATGGGAATTTTGGTAATATTTCTTTGATACATTACGTTTAAGGATATTATACAGGGTCTCTATTAAAGATGGAACCAAAGCTCTAACGCGCGATCTGTTTGAGATGTAGACATATATGTATGAAAATTAGAACGCTTTCGTTTGAAATTAATTCATATATTTTGAGGCTAAAAGAATTTTTTTGACATCATGATTTTTAAGAGCGACCGCCATCTGGAATTTTTTAAATGGCAGCATAGGTCATAGCATAGGCAATCGCGCATTCTAAAACCTTGCGCCAAAACTCTCAAACAGTTTGAGCCTGAGACCAAAGAATAAGAAATGGTTAATAATAGGTATAGATCCTATTAAGAATTTACCTTAACAAGAAAATAAAGACAATGGAACCAGAAACTGTCGCTCAAACATTTTACTTGCACTTTGTAATATCAACAAGTAGAGATTAATTTAAACAGCATGATTCTATTTTTTGTCTATCTTGATTTATACGACGTCTCAACCCATTCATGACTTCCTCTCCATGGCGTAGTGGACACCTTCGGCTGCTGCACTATATTTTGATGCTGCGCGCCTATGGGCTATGCCTATGCTATGCTTTTCGAAAGCTTTTGAAATCGTTAAAAACTACGTGTATAACTACTACTCTGCGAATTCTCCCTTCGGGTTTTATCTAAAGTTTCTTCTTTTTAAATCCATGGTTTGCGTAAATACCGTAAAAAAAGCACAGCGTGCTCCGAAATTCTCATTTTAGAAAATTCTTCGAAACTTCTTCTTCTACTTGAAATGGAAACCCCCTTTTTTCTTTTCAACCCCACCCCCCGGATGTTTTTACAAGTTTTCGAAAACTAATTATATTACAAATAACATAAATCGAACATCGAACAACATAAGTAGAACGCAGGGAAAGGCGGAAGGAAATAGTTTTAGCTGTTTTAGTTTTAGCTACTCGGTTGTTGTAGAGATTTTTGAGTAATTGAACCAAGGGGTTTTTGTTACATTTTTGACTGTAGCGTATCTTTCAGTACAATATAATTCGTTTTTGTTTTTGAAAATTAAAAATCTTCAAATGGTTGAGCATATTTTAGATTTGTTCCACGTTTTAAAAAACCATCCATGTATAGGAAATAGGGATGTAATTAAATTTTCCTTACCTTTCAATCTTGAATCACACGTGGGATGCTGGCCCATCATCTTTTTCTTAAGCGTTAATTTGATTGATTGATTTGGTGCATTTAAGTGAATAATTTTAGTGCACATTTTGTGTGCAATTTTATGTCTAACTTACGCCTTCCTATACCTAGACCACAATTTTATAAACTTATCTACTAATAAAAAATTTCATATTATCGCCTAATCTGCCAGAATAATTATACTAAATTTTTATATTTGAAATCATTACATAACCGCAATATCAAATCAGTCTTATATCCACAAATGCAAAAGTTCACAACTTTATTAAAGTTAAGGAAGTACATATGGAACAATTATTGAACTTAATAGATCCCCTCCGCAGTTGCAAATGTTAATATAAAAACGAAAGACATGACGCTGGTGTCGTACAGACGATCCCTAGCCCAGATTCGGGCAACCGGGAGATGAGGGCAGCTTAGCCCCAAAAGGATTTGTTGTGTTCACCTTAATAAGAGTGAAATTGTGTTATTTATAGTTGGACATTTAGGTAAGTTTGCTTCTTCTTAAATCTGAATGTAAAGCTTTCGTAATCTTTTTTGCATGTTGTATTTTGTTGTTTAATCAGCGCATTCAATTTTTAACATTTTAAACGCGTTTAATGAAAACTGCAGGTACTTATTATAATGGGGAATGTGAAAATTATATGGGCTCTCTTCGTGGCGTTCATGTTTTTACGAACAACTGCGGAAGCGCGTGTTCGAAAAGCAAAACTAACTCCACAAACTGCCGGAATACAAAATCCTCCTGGACAAGGAAATTACAACGATTATGAAGAATATGAGGATTATAATTATGAAGAATACGACGAAAAGAAAGGTGTCTATTTAATAAAAATGATTGCCCATACTTAAATAAATTTTAGGACAACCACCTGACGAACGACCAAAGCCTCGTCCCGTGCCTACTACCACACAACGGTATGAACAGCCTCCCGATGAAGTACCAGAACCCATACCTACAGTTCCAGTACCTGTTCCTGTTCCAACTACAACTATAAAACCAACCCCATCGCCAGATTGTCAACAGGACGGGCAAGTTTACCGTGACGGACAAAAATGGAAATCAAGCGCTTGTACTACTTGTACCTGTTATGTAGGACAGATTTCTTGCCAGACAGATCCAAATTGTGGAAAACCACCAGGTAAGCAAGTGTAATAAGTGGTTTAAGCTTTAAAATTGGATTGCAGTTACAAAGCCTCCTACAAAACCACCAGTGACAACATCATATGAAGCTTCCCCAACTGATTCGTTTCCTGGCCCAATAGGCGACCTTGGTTATCCAGGTGTACCTGGTTATCCTGGTGATATCGGCGAACCAGGTTACCCTGGCATGCCTGGAGCACCTGGCCCACCTGGACCTCCCGGTCCGTCACCAGATCTATCTCACTACTATGCACAGATGTCACAATCTCAGGCTGGACAAGATAAAGGACCGTCGTATCCCGAATCATTCCATTTTATGCAGGCGCAAGTAGGACCTGTCGGTGCCCGTGGCGTACCAGGGCCACCAGGTCCCATTGGTCCCCAGGGATTTCAAGGTGCGCGGGGTGACGTGGGAGAACAAGGTCCTCCCGGTCCATCAGGTATGCCAGGAGCTCGTGGATTGCCAGGATTACCCGGAAAAGATGTAAGACCTGCTTTCTTCTCTAACATTTATCTAACGTCTACAAATGTTAAAAGGGAGAAAATGGAGAAGATGGTGAAGCTGGAGCTATTGGAGCGGCAGGTCCAATTGGTCCTAGAGGCTTACCGGGAATGCCTGGTTTGCCAGGTGTAAAAGGCCATAGAGGTTTCCCCGGGTTAGATGGCGCGAAGGGAGAGCAAGGTCAGGGAGGTGAAAAAGGAAGCGCAGGTCCCGCCGGACCTATTGGTCCACATGGCGCTATTGGAAACGCAGGACCTCGCGGTGAGCGTGGTAGGGAAGGTCCACCAGGTCCTCCTGGTTTAAGAGGAGTCGATGGGATTCCTGGACCACCGGGACAACCAGTAAATTTACTTCAACTTACTTGTAAAGTTACTTAACTGTGATTGTTTTGTAGGGCGCAATTGGCAAATCCGGTGCACCTGGATTCCCTGGTAGTGCTGGAAACAAGGGTATGTAATTAATGCAACCTTATGCTAATTTTGTACTATATTGGCTATTGTAGGTGATCAAGGAGCTTACGGTCCCAAAGGTAGTCAAGGATTGCAAGGACCACGGGGTACGCAATACTCTTTCTAATAATTGGCACTTATAACCATGTAACTATTATAGGTGAACCAGGCCGACCTGGCCAACCTGGAGAATCAGGACAACCTGGTCCAGCTGGAAAAGATGGATACCCTGGAGAAAAGGGTATTCCCGGATCTGCTGGGTTAGCTGGAGCACCTGGTTTCCCTGGAGCACGGGGTGCACCCGGTGTGGCTGGTAGTCCAGGAGAAGTTGGTCCCAAAGGTCTTCCCGTAAGTATGACAAGAAAATAGCATATGTTTTTAAACCAGTAATGAGAGTTATTCTGTGAAACATGCAAATATCTCAAATTAAACAGAAAATGCAAAATAACGGATCACCAATCAAATCATCCCACCTTGACTTGCAAAAGATTGGTTTGTTGTTATTTACATGCGTTAGGAAGAGATGGTTGTTGATCTCTATCTGTTGTAAAAAAAAAGGTGGGTTTGTTTTCAGGCGTACTTGTTTAATAGCGGTACAGCTCGTATTTTTACTTATTCTTACGCCTAATACTTTAGTATTTTTTCCTCGAGAGCAACTTTTTAAACCTTTGATTTTTTCTTCAGAATATTAAGACCCTTTTGAAGAGGGTTTTTGTCTTTCTTCCTGTCGCATCAATATGTAATGTTGGGTTTATTATAATTTTCATATTGTCTTCTGGTCATTTTTGGATACCTACCAACTGCGAAATTATGCGATTAACCAAAAAGGCAAAAACTGATATGTAAATCTTGTCCGTGAACTTCAAGATTATATTGCCTTGGTCGTAAGGTTTCTTGGGGGCAATTTTTTGTGCTATGATCTGAATTACCTAGAAAACATAAATCCCCATACAATATCTCCTTGTTATCGTTTTTAACAGGAAGCCTGAAGACTTTCATTGACTAATACATCATTTTACTTTGACAACGATTAAAACTGAAAAGGGGGTGTTGTTTGCAACTTGGCCAACTTCATCAACATTGTGCCTGCCTTAATACCTACACTTTTTGATAATATTACATTAATTTCAGGGAATGCCTGGAGAACGTGGTTATAAGGGTGAAGGTGGTATGAAAGGAGAAGGCGGTGCAGCAGGAGCAAGAGGTGCTCCAGGACCGTCTGGTGCCGAAGGTAAACGGGGCAAACGAGGAATGCGAGGTCCAACGGGACCAAGTGGTGCTGCAGGTGAACGGGGCGCTTCTGGTGCTAGAGGTTTACCAGGACCAGATGGAGCCATCGGTCCTAAAGGTTCGTTTACTATTATCCTTTTCTTTATGTAAGCAAAACAAAAATGTCTTTTTATAAGTCATTATAATGTTATTGCATTTCAAATAAAAATAAATGTTAGGACCGCCCGGTGACCGTGGCGGTGTTGGCGCACAGGGAGCGAAAGGTCCTCAAGGAGATATTGGTAGACCTGGATTGCCCGGAATGCAAGGGGAGAGAGGTTTAGCAGGAAAAACCGGACCTCCTGGTAAAACAGGAAATGCCGGTGAACGTGGTCCGCCTGGTGCTGATGGCAAGGCCGGTGAGCAAGGTGTACAAGGAATACAAGGATTGCCGGGTCCAATAGGTGCTCCCGGAGAGAAAGGACCTGCGGTAATTTAACTATTCTTTTTCCCCTGAGCATGTTAATAAGCTCCAATGCAACAACAGGGAGAGTCAGGAAAAGATGGCGAACCTGGCGCACATGGAGCAATAGGACCGCGTGGTGATCCAGGAAAAGACGGTGCTATTGGCCACCCGGGACCTCCAGGACCATCTGGGCACGATGGTGAACGAGGACAACCCGGTTCTCCTGGACCACGAGGTTTCCAAGTAAGTTTAGCGACGAAAATAGTGTTAGCGTAACAAGCCAAATTGACAACATTAATTATATTAGGGTTTACCTGGTGCTCCTGGAAATGCTGGTTTACAAGGTAAGGATGGTGACGTTGGTATGCCTGGACCACCTGGTCCTCCGGGAGCCGCTGGAAACAGAGGCGAAAGAGGTTTCCCGGGTGAAAGAGGAGGAGTTGGATTACCCGGACCATCGGGCGCACGAGGAGAAACAGGAGGACAAGGAAGCGACGGACCACCTGTAATAAATTTGAAGAAACAAACGAATAGAGACACTTACGATATATTTTAGGGTCCACAAGGACCTATTGGTGAAAAAGGGCATAGCGGTTTACCTGGTTTAGTTGGACTTCCCGGTTTACGGGGACCTACTGGCCCTCAAGGTGATAAAGGTGAAAGAGGATCTTACGGCGCACCCGGTCCCGAAGGACCTGCTGGAAGATTAGGAGAAAGAGGTCCACCGGGACCCGTCGGCCCTCAAGGGGCTCATGGGGAATCTGGGGAGAGGGGCGAACCTGGCGCACAGGGTGTACCAGGTGAACATGGTGCTGCAGGATCTCCCGGTGAACGAGGAAGCATAGGACCTCCTGGTGCACAAGGTATACATATGGCACCAACTTAAAAATCATATGCTAATCATATACCGTGGAATAGGATTCCCTGGACCACAAGGTTTGGTCGGGCTTCCCGGCGGTAAAGGAGAGCGAGGGGCTGGAGGTGCTAAAGGTTCTCAAGGAAACCCAGGTCACGCCGGCAAACCTGGAGACTCTGGACCACCTGGATTAACTGGTTTAACGGGACCAAAAGGAATGCGAGGAGAGCCTGGTGCTAGAGGAGAAGGTGGTCTAATGGGCGCCCCAGGTCGGCCAGGAGAACCTGGTGCTGCAGTAAGCTAAAAATAAATCGCTTTATATTCAGCCACGAAATTGTTTTATTTTAGGGACATCAAGGAAGTCCTGGACCTGCAGGACCTCAAGGATTACCTGGAATAAAAGGTAGTAGTGGTGATGTTGGGCGAGCAGGAAGTCCAGGAGCACAAGGATTGCCGGGGCCACCCGGATTAGATGGAGCTAAAGGTGACACTGGACACGAGGGTTCTCCAGGTCTCCATGGTCCACCAGGACCATCAGGGGCTGCGGGAGAAAGAGGTTTACCTGGTCTTCCGGGACCACCAGGACCGGCTGGACTTCGTGGACTTCGAGGACCTGCGGTAAGTAGTTTGGAAATTGATATCTTTAGGTTAATTTATCACATCGATTAATGTAAACAAATTTTTAATTTAGGGCGAAACAGGACCTGCTGGAAAAGCAGGAAATGAAGGCGCACCTGGTATGATGGGTTTAATGGGACCAGTAGGATTGCCTGGCGCACATGGAGAGCAGGGACCTGAAGGGCCACCTGGTAAAGCTGGACCTCCAGGATTAGCTGGTAGACCCGGTGACAAAGGTCCTGTAGGACCGGCAGGTCAAGCAGGATCTATTGGTCCTACTGGATTACCAGTAAGTTTCACCTTTAACTGAAAAGTTTTATAAAACTACATCTTGGTTTGATAGGGCCCACCTGGCTCTGCAGGAAGTCCCGGAGCCGCTGGAGAGCGAGGTCCTCGGGGCGAAACTGGACCAATGGGTGTGGAGGGTCCCCAAGGAGCAAGAGGCAAATCTGGTGCTCCCGGTGAAGCAGGATCGAAGGGAGATCGGGGTGATATGGGACCTATGGGGATGAAAGGTCACAGAGGTCTAATTGGTTTACAAGGAATGCCAGGGTTACCCGGTGTTGCTGGGGAAAGAGGAGGTATTGGTTCTCCTGGATTACCCGGAAAAGATGGTGATACCGGTCCAAGAGGCACCCCTGGCAGAGATGGAAACCCCGGTGCCCAAGGCTTATCGGGGCTGCCGGGAGAAAGAGGTTTATCTGGTGAAAATGGTCGCCCCGGTCCTCCTGGTCCACCAGGACCTCCTGGTCTTCCTGGACCTCCCGGAGAAGGTATGGGATACGATGCGGCTGCATTAGCGGCATTACTTGGGCAAGGGCCTCAAAGCCAAAAGGGACCGGATCCAATGGATGACGAGCCGATTCGCATTTTCGGAAAAGAAATGACAGACGAAGAGAGAAGGGAATTAGTTGTTAAGGCTTATGAACAATTGAAATCCTCATTTGAACGTTTCAAGAAGCCAAACGGCCAAAAATCTTCTCCCGGAAAAACATGCAGAGACATAGCTGCCGCATATCCCGATTCCGAAAGCGGTAAGGATTGTTAATTATTTTATGTAACATCGCTAAACTGTATTGACCTTAGGCGAATACTGGGTCGATCCCAACGACGGTGATATTCGAGATTCTATACTGGTTTATTGCGACATGAAAAAACGCGCAACTTGTCTTCTTCCCAAACCTGACAGATCCTCCGAAATTTCATACAAAGGACACGAACAAGAAGTATGGTTAAGCGAAATGGAAAACGGTATGAAGGTAAGCAGTACAATTATCAACCCTGAACGCCTCCTTTAACCGACAACAATGTTTTAGTTAACATACAAAGCGGATAACAATCAAATCACATTCTTACAATTATTATCTACACAAGCCCAACAAACCATCACGTATCACTGCAAGAATAGTGTAGCATATTACGATGAGCAGAAAAAAACGCATCGCAAGGGAGTCAAGCTTTTGAGCTGGAATGACGTTGAACTAACACCGCGAGGAAATCAAAGACTACGATACGAAGTACCAGTAGATGAATGCAAGGTAAGTGTTGATAACCTTTTTTTTTTTAAATTTGTGTTGACAACACCATTAATTTATTCATTCATTCAATGACCTCGTCCAGTAGGTACTCTTGCAGATTTGTCACAAAATGCGTCACTTTAACTGCTGATGGGAGAATACAATTTTCCCATTAATATCCTATGATTTTTATTTTTTTTTAGTCTCGACAAAACACTTGGGCCAGAACAGTATTAACGTACACTTCAGATAAAGCTACTCGACTACCAATTGCAGACATTGCGGTTAGAGATATCGGTCAACCTGATCAAGCATTCTGGGTTGAAATTGGACCGGTATGCTTTAGCTAAATCCTTCCAGATATATTACACATGAACCACTGTACAACCACATACCAGAAACTGCCATGCGTGTTCAATCAAATACCTAATATCTCAAAGTGTTTCTTTAGTCAGCCATGGAAATACTCTACAATTCCTAAATATGGTGCTATGATATTGAATGTAAATTTTAGAGAATAAATCCGCTAAAATGTGACTGTTTCTATTTTCTTAAAGCACCTAAAGGTATCTGCCTACAAGAATAAGCAAGTAGCGATGTTCTTCCGTTTGAATTGTCTATGTTGTGTGTTATTTTTTACTTTTTACTATCTGCGACATAAGTTTTCCAATAAATGGTTGGATGGTATTCTTTGATCCAAAAGTGTCGAGTTGAAAGTGAAATTATAAACCTGAAATCATAATAGGTAGCTACCTAGTAAAAGGGGATCGCATAGTTTGAGTTTGTTGTTTTTTGTGTGATTTAATAAACTTTTTTTATAAATTAATTGTGTTTTGTATACCAAAATGTTATATTTTTTATAATCTTCAATCTTTGGTTTTGAAGTTATTGCAGCATTGATACGGCATCACGTGTAGGTAAGTATGATTTTTTAGTTTGAAACGATTATTATTTTTAGTGCAAATGTCTCCTCAATTTATGTTTATGTTTTGATTACATGGTTATTAGTCATTCGTTTAAATTTTTGGTAATTATCTAATAGTTTGATGTTTTTATAAAAAATATGAACTTGTTGTATGTATAAACTAATACCATTGAATTTATAGCTATAAATTCAATGCTAATACTTTTCGCAAGGATGGGAGAACTACAATCAAAATAGTTGCGACATCTAAGGCTGTGATTGATCCCGAATCTCAACTGTAGGTTTGCATTTCCGACACCATGAACAAGGAACAAGAATCCCAGGGGCGGGACCCTGCTAACAAGAAACTCTTCTATTTTGAATCGATGTGCGATATGGGCCATCAAGTTTGAATCCCCTTGTATAGGGTTATGGTTGTATTTCCCTTTAAAAAAATTATAACTCTTTTCTGATTTATCCGACTTTCTACATCTTGTCGTTTTCCAGATCTCAATGGTACGAACATAAAATGTTCGTCACCCTGTAATAACTAAAATGTTTGTTCAAATGCTTCCGGCTTAAATTTCCCTCTCTTGTGTACTATATGAGTCAATACAGTTATATTTTTAAATCAAAGTTTATTTTATCTGGATAGTTTAAACTTTAAAGCCTATTTGTACACGACAATAATTCAAAGCATTGATAGTGATTTAAACGTAAAAATATACGGTCTTTTTTAAGAAGTATCAAAAATTCAAAACATTTAGAAACTACTTTGAACTAAATTTTGGAAAATATGCTATTTATCTTTGTCTCACTCGCGAATACCAGGTTTGCTGTCTTATTTTGATACAACTGGCAATGGCAACAGTGGCAACTGCTAGCTGTCAAATAAAGGTTAAGTCGTCAGTAGTAGTCTCTCTTGTATTTCTATCTAAACAATTTGTCCTTTTGCAGAATAAGTTGCATTGCATAGATTGTATCACTCAACATTATCTAAAATGCAAGGTCTAAGCCTTCAAAGTTTAAAGAAGCATCGAGCTGTAAGTATATGGTTACTTATGTAACAGGTATCTTTTGTATCCATTACCTATGTAGGATTCAAGAAACACTAATCAGCTTTAATCTGTTATAGCTTATTCCCCTCTATGTGTGTGTTGGAATTGGGTGTGCAGGAGCTGTAGGTTACACACTACGTTTAGCTTTGCGTAATCCTGACGTTGCCTGGGCAAATAAAGGGGAAGGCGCCTCTAACGAGGACTACCGGTCGAAGCAATATAAGGTATAACAATACATTCAGTGAAACGGTCTTAACTCTTTTATTTTTAGTTCTATTCACCTAATCTTGATTATAGCAAACTTGAAAGTCCGGCACCTAAATACTAGTTATCTACCCGTTGGTAGTAGTTTTGTAGCAAAACATTATGTGATTATGTACCTATATTAAAGTCTGTTTTAAAATATATTGCAGTGTTTAATCATGCTATCCCTAACCTCCTCAACTATAAATGCTCAAAAGTACAAAATTTGCTTCTGCATTTATAAGATTTCGATGCTATATTTTTCAAAGGCATTTGTCAATATTTGGTTATATTTTCATAACCTTAATTTCACAAAATAATGGCATCACATTGGGAAGAATTTTACTCAACACATTTACCCCCTACAGACTTTGAAGATAATAGAAAGTTACTGAAAGAATTCTGTGAACGCCACCACAAAACAAATCAAAGAATTGTCCTAATAACTGTGAGTTAATTAAGTTAACCGTACTTACTCAGCTGTTACTTGCTTTTTCAGTCGGGAGGTACAACAGTTCCGTTAGAGCATAATACAGTAAGATTTGTGGATAATTTTAGTGCAGGGACCAGAGGTGCGGCCTCCGCAGAATATTTTTTAGAACATGATTATATGGTTATATTTCTGCACCGTTTGAAATCGTTGGAGCCATTTACGAGACATTTTACGGGGCAAATGTTCCTCGATATGCTAGAATTGAATGACCGAGGGCCCAGTACAACAATTACAGGTAGTTTTTTCAACATTTGCGGATAAATAATTGTAATAGTTGTTTGATTGCAATCGCGGTCTTTTTAAAGTAGATATATTATCTTTCTTATAATCACAGTGCTTCATTAGCATTGGTACCGACTATGTTAACTGATCCATCGTGTTGACGACCTCATGTTTAGAACGTTTGCGTGGAGAATAGTATGAGTACTATTTAGCTTGGTATTTAATACAAGTGGATTATCTTGAAGTGGGTAAATAATTCATTTACGAGATACAATTAATACATAGGTATATAGCCTTATATTACTAATACCTTTGTTTAGAATGACTTCTCGAGTCTCTGAATTTAGGCTTATTTGCTTCCATCCAATATACTTACTGTGATTCACAAGTTGCCTACTGTAGGTGCAAACAGTATGGTAATTGGTACCCTATTAGCAAAGAGTAACACTCTGCTATTAGTATCTTGCTCGTTTGTTTTATTACTTTTACTTTTAACTATGTCGCTGCATGTCAGTGATTTACGATGAGTAGCGTCACATAACTAATAACTTTATAGGTACAAAAACAGTTTGGTGTCCAGATAAAAAGATAATAACAATAGGATATTTCACTCGCTAGAGGGTATAATGTTAAGAAAAGCGTTAACGCCGCCAAAACCTATAAAGCCGTTTTGACTTACTAATTTGAATATGAAGTTCCTTATTATTTAATTTTTCACTCAACGTTATTATTGATACTGCTCACTAATGGTTCGAAAAATACCTTTAAGGATTGATTTTTTATTTATTACCAATTCCTTCGGCCTACATTGAACGTACATTAGGTGGCGTCAAAGAGTAAAGATAAAATATAAAAGCATACACATATCACACTTCACAAAAGTTAAATTAGAAAATATCATGGTTTGCATTTTCTACATCCATATTCATCCACATATGCTTTAATGGTGTAGAAGCAGTTATATATGAAAAACTTTTTTCATTTCCCTACGAAATATTCCGAAGGATTTGCAGGTCTTGAGTTTTTCCAATGTATATGTATACAATGGTTTTTCTGGGGCCAAGTTATAAAGGTGAGTTCCGGAAAATATGGGAGACCTTTTGTAGAAGGTGTAATTCTGCCCTCACATAACTCGGCGTACAGTTCATCTTGGGCAAAACTGGGTTATATAAGTAGCGCAATGCCTTATAAACCCTCTGGTCCAATTACCGTGGTTAGATGCGCCAGAAACCTTTCGCTGCTCATCAACGAAATTTGCACTTATGCATTACTCAAGCTGCTCGCTGTGGATGTTCCAATGGGTATTTGTCCTCAATTCTTCGATACTGTCAATGGCACCACCAACACTTACAACTCGTCTGTTTGGTAGTTACGTTGGATGTGTCAAGGTATAGTTGCGAAAACAAAGGATCCATCGGACTGTTGGACAAATTCCAGTCTCGTACGAGAAACAAACGTTCCATATAAGACCAGCATAAGACATTCGTGTCAATTCGTTTCCATCTAATGGCAATGCGGTGACCACTACGAGTAAATTGAATTTTTGCTCTTAGAGTAACCATGATTCTTAAATTCATTTTATTCTAAAAAAAGTGCTTTTTAAAATTTACGTTTACCTCGACGCCAATTGTAATATATTAGGTACCTACCTCCTTGCTAATATATTATGTAAAGGGTACGTTACAAACGAACACAACCAATGTTTCTAACTTTATTTTACGTTAATAAGCAAATGGAATGCGTCGAGCCACCATGAATGACATTAGTTGACATTATACTTTTGTAACTTCAAGAATCAAGTATGTGAGTGTGTGAGTGAGAAATGGCGCAGTTTACCACATTATTAAGTATATATTTTAAGATATTCCATTAACAACTAGATATTGGCACTTATAAAAGCATTGACAAGCATTTATCTTTATCTTTCTAAGGCCCCAACCTCCCAGTTTATGTACTTATCTGTATTTTTAACCAAATACGTGTGATCGGTCCTGCATATGCAATACAAAACAACGTGCCAGACAAGGATGAGAATACCTACGTTATGCTGGTTGCCTAAAATCATTGCGGCACGCGATTTTGGCGCTCGATGCCGTTCCAGTTACAGAGTATATAGTTCAATGATAAAAATATATACAGATATCTCCAAACAGGTGGAACAATCCCTAACATTAAAGTTACTAGAATCTGGTAACTTCCATCATTTTTGGGCAAAAATCATGCGTTCCCTCTCTAACACATGAGCCCAATAGATTGCGGTACTTTCTATATTTAGTGACTTTAAGAATTAGGTGATAAATGCGGTAGGTAAATCATGGCCAACCAATTTTTTACTACCTTTTTGGATTTATTTATTTAACTTTTATACTTTTAAAAAAGGGCTTAGGCGCGCTTTTTTGGTGACATCTAAATGCCGATTTTAATTACCTATCCGAGAGTGTAATGTGTATGTGTATATCTGTGCTACTAGCTTATGATGACATGATTATTAACCTTTTTTTGTAAAATTGATTTTCAAGCGCGTTTCACATGCTGAAAGGTTTTTTCAAAGTTGAAAACTCACCTTTTCGGTCCGAACGCGAAATATTTCACTTTCAGCTGAAATTGTAGGGCTGCCAAGATAGCACATTTAACATTAATGTTACGTTTTGTGCCATTTGATGTTCATTCTTGTTGATGGGCGCAAAGGCAGATTATTCAGCGAAAATTACAAGTGCACAGAAATAAAAGAAAAAGAAGTTACGAAAGGCGTCTATCTAACCCGAGATCTAACCTATATTTTTTTAGGTTGGTATTAGCAAATTGTCACTTTCAGTTTCCATTAAATATCTTTCAGCATGTAAAACGAGCTTTAATAATGAAATCACCGTCACGCGCCGACCTGTTACCATATCGAGTTAGCGAGGAAACGAGGACAATAGCGGTATGTCATTGACTACGGGGGGAGGGCGGAGGGTGACTCGATCGCACGGTCAAGCTCAACAGGGTGTGCTTTGCCGCTATTTTTTCCAAGTCCGTTCCCTTGACTGTGGTTTCGCTAGACAGTACGTAGGGACAGTTGAGAATCTCGTTAATCCAGTCGTGCGCGTCCCTAATTAGATGGCGAGACATTTAGCTATAAAACAGTTTATTGGATATTTTACAATTATTGTCAACCACATGTCACTAAACAGGGTGCCCATTATGTATGGAATATAGTATATATCTCGTTAAATATCGAATGTATACCAAATTTTTTTATATGAATGTTGTTTAACATTTTATTTCCCATAAAAAGGCAGCATTCAGTTGTTTTTATTTCAGAAAACAACGAAAAACAATTGAATTTTTTTAAATGGCAGTGCACCTTTTCATTAGGCTCATATTTGGTAGACATTTTTTTTCTCTTTCCCATTATATAACATGTTAGTACCCTAATACAAGAAAATTTTTCGAAAAAACTTATAATCACATCAATAACATTCATCTAGATATCCTACATCAAAATAAAATAAATGAATGCGTACTTTTGTTACCATTTTATTGCTAATTTCATTTTGTCTTCAAGGTAATAAGAAACGTACATGTTCATTTGTTTTATTTTGATGCAGGATATCTAGATTACTGTTATTGAGGTGATTAAGTATAATTTTTTTTTAATATTCTTGTATTAGTGTACTAACATGTTATATCATCGAAAAGAGAAAAAAAATCTCTATCAAATGAGCCTAATGAAAAAGTGTACTGCCATTTAAAAAAATTCAATTGTTTTTCGTTACTCATTTGTTTTCCGAATGCAGCCTTATTATGGGAAGTAAAATGTAAACAACTTACATATAGAAATATTTTGAATACATTCGATATTTACAGAGTTATACTATATTCCATACATAATGGGCACACTGTATAATGTCCGCCAGGAGAGAATGCCGGTCACAGAAAATCTGGTGCCAGTCTACAATTGTATGTTATTAAACCATATAATTGTAGACCAGCATCAAGTGTTCTGTGACCAGCATTCTCTATTGTGAACCCTAGGCCAGTTGTTGGACCTAACTAAGGAAATTTAGCGCAGGGCCTGTGTTTTCAATAAGGACGGAGACCGGCATCTTCGTGTTGGTGCATATTAGCGAATCGCTTTGAGAGCCGGCGTAATTCCGGTATCCTCAAGCTCCCATCGCTCACATTGACGTGTAACAATTGGCTGCCCGGATGCGCGTTGAGGTAGAGAGCTCTCTTTGTAGACCTGCGATTCATATTTGCTCAGGAAGGCGGCGGTAATCTTCGGGCTCTGGAGGGCGTCGACCTTTTTTAGGCACAATATACGACCAAATTTCTGGTTATACGCGTCAACGGCGCTCTCTAGATTGGTCAGCCAGCTGTTCTGGTTGAACAGGTTTGGTTTATGTATTCCCACTAGGCTATACTGGGGGCCGAGGTATCTGAAGGTTGAGAAGGTACCGGCATTATGGCTCAATGGTAGAGCGTTGAGTTATAAATCCGGAGGTCGGGTGTTCGAACCTGGGTTGAGGTGAATTTTTCATCTGTGGCACATATGGAAATTACCTTAGACCACTTTCGAAACCTAATTCGTAAGGTAAATACCGGAGTAGTATAGAACAACTTATGACCTTCTGCAGAGGCACCTCTAAAAAGCATTATGCGGGTCACTCTGTAATTGGGCGCAAGCCTGTTGAGGGCCCAGAACAAGAGAGGGATAATAAATAAATAAATAACGGAATAAGTTGACCGGAGATCTTGAAGATAGGGCGGATGCGGGTGATTGCCGAAATTGACACATTTCTTCGGGTTAATCAACATCGCCCTGGCGGTTAGGAATGTCTGTGCGGCGTCCAGCGTGGTTGGCATATACACGTCTCTATCCTCTAAGAGGATTAAGCACGAACTAAACTAAGGTGGAGATGAGTTTGTGCTCAATCGATCTCGCGTTGCTCGCTTCAGGTAGCCGCGTATTCCGGTTTCGATTGCCGGTGCCGGATTTGGTCGTTGGTCACATCCGTTGGTGTCTTCGGTAGGAAATCACTCCCTTCCAATAGTCTTGACCTCGATTGCGGAATTTGAAAGCTGCAGCAGCAGGAAAGGCAGCTTGTGTCTCTAACTCCGGGTAGGAGCGGCCCTCATACAGGTGAGGCGTTAAAAGTTTTTTCATGTGTAAATATTTAAGACAGGAATTCCGAAGTGCATATTCACTATAACGTGAGGTTAGTTCGGCGCTGTAAAACTCAAACCCCGCCGCATAAACGGCCAGCTAGCTCAGATTCTTAATTAAAAGAAGGGCTCGAGATGAGAATCTTCCACAGCGGTTTGTTCGTTTGGGCATATAACATAAGTTTTTGATCTTTGGTAGTCACTAGAAATGATTAGTTGAGCGCCACCCAATTTTGCACAAATTCTGACCTCTCCTGTATAGAAATTGGGAAAACACAAGAGAGCCAAATAATAAATTCACTACGAGCAATTCTGATTTATTAATCCTGGCAAAAACGGTGCAGGATCGGCAAATAAAATGTATCTTCAATACGACAATAACAAATACTTTAAATGACAAAAATAATCCCCAAATAAATTCATGAACACTTCCCTAATAATTACGTTACCAGACCCCTACAACAATGATCGAGCAAAAATGTAGTTAAGATTTCAATGGATTCAAAGATTGAATTAAGTTAACCCGAATAACAACTCATATAGGCAACACTGGGTACAAGTAAATTAAAAATCTTACCTTGAATAACACATACGCTGTCTTCTCCGAAAAAGAGCTCTCCTTCGAAGTTCCAGTTCTGTAACACAAAAACAAACCCCAAGCTACAACGCTCGGAACGATTATATGAGCCGGAAGGGCCAAAAAAATAGCTTACTCGTAGCCGGCTCGTTTACCCATACGTTAAATACAGGTGCGTTGCTCTTGAAGAGAGCCACGACCTCAAACACTAGATGCGAACAAAATACAAAGCTCCAATCATAAATCGTCGGAAGGTTACACTAGATTAACGGTATTGAAGCAAATAAAAAAAAAGTTGTGTAAAAGATCGTATCTTCCGAAAATTCCACAATCAGCTGGTCGCTCCCGGTATCGTTTAGGTGTTAGCGCTTATCTACTCGGTGGTACGCCGGATAGCTGCCGGCAATCAACAGGTGTTCGTACTCCGGAATATTCGCAAGATGCAAATTCATTTACTATCCCAAAATTATGCCAGGTCAATGTCCTCCGCACACAAGAATGTGCAAGGATATACTATAAACTATACCATACAAGGATTCGTCTGTACAAGGATTGACCGGTACAAGAATTCATCTACTACATGGATTGACCGGTACAAGAATTCATCTACTACATGGATCCCCTGAAATCGTCAGGAGGGTAATGAAAAATACTTAAATCAATGAAAGATGGAAATTATCCAACCTCAAATTGTGAATATGTAGGTAGGGCGATGAACTTCAACCAGATATATAGCCTCGCAATGGAGAAAACGGCTTCTGAGTTACTCTACTCGACAACGCCAATAAAAAGGTAAAATTGCCAGAGATTTCACGTGAATGATGGCAAATATTACCCACTGGTTTAAGAAGAATTCACAATGCCACGCTCTACAACAAGTACAACCTCGTTGGCTTCAAACCGGAAATGAAAAAATAATAACGCGATTCTGCGCGAGGAAAGAAACACGCGTACAAGTGACGCCATCTCACCTATATCCTACCTAACCTAGCAAGCGGTAATTTTGAAATTTGAATATGAATAAACTAAACTGTTACATCACTTCCTGAAAATCGTACACGATACTTTATATCTTGAAATTTATTTTCGCATAATCTTTGAGTAAATATGTATACTCGTGCCATTGTCCAATGGCGAACCCCTCACCCCTTTTCACACCTTATAGCAAATTGGAAACACCTATGTATTGTTGATGTCTAAACAACGGCATGCAGGTGTTTTATTTGGGCTCTGCACCTGTTTTGTATAAGTATTATTGAATGTTTAAGTTTTGTTTAATTGATCGCCTTTGTTTTGTTTATTGTGATTTGTTTGTTTAATTGTAGTAGTGAAATTACGTTGTACATCTACATCTGGTCGTTTTTGCTATAAGAATATTCGCTATAGTGTTGCGTAAGGTGAAACTTAATTAGTTATAAGATAAATACGTGTCATTGCTGATCAGAAATAATAGGTGTGCAGTATATTTCGAAGCTGGTTTTATTCAAATTTGGTACGAATTGGCTGTGTTGGCGAGAGTCATCAAATGGACTGAGTTGATAGGGGAAGTTTTCTGTGCCAGAACACAATTTTGGGGCCAAACTGGGTTGACTTCTTTGACCTTGGTATCTCATGGATGCTAAAATATATTTTGATTTTCCACAAGATCAATGGAATTCGTATACACTGTTTCATTAAGTTCATTTAATTTTGCTAAATATCTAATTAATTTTATTATTTTTAGTGAAACCCGATTGTGTAGACATTGTCGCACCGATCTTGGCAAGATATAAAAATGCCCAGGAAGGTGGAAGAATATTGTATGTGACCTTTACTAGCGTATCCGATTACTTTTGGCTATTAAGAGCAGCCTGCGAATGTTTAGCTGCCTTTCAAAGTAATGCACTGTTGTACCTAGCCGCAGCCGTTTCGGATTTTTACATTCCTTCAAGTGAAATGGTAATAACTGAGTGTAACTTTCTAGCAGTAAACAATATCTTAATTTTAGCCCACCCACAAAATTCAATCACAAAATGGAGCCCCGACCATATCATTACAATTAGTTCCAAAATTGCTGGCGCCTCTTGTGAATTTGTGGGTTCCACATGCTTACGTAGTTTCTTTTAAATTGGAGACTGATGAAAGTATTCTCATCGCAAAAGCTAGAGATTCTATTAATAAATATAAACACAAGGTAAGTTGTAATTGCAACTCAAGATGAACATAAAATATAAGAATATGTAATAATATATAAGAATATATAATTCGGTTTTATCGAGTTTATAATACTCTATTTCAGCATAGTTTAGATGTGTTCTTTTCAGTTTATTCTATGATCTGCTTTTAGTTGGTGATCGGAAACATATTACAAAGTAGAAGATATCGTGTAGTATTTGTTACACCACAAAGCAACTATGAGGTTGTACTCACAAGAGACCAAATGCTAAATGGTATGGAAATTGAAGATTCTATTGTTGCCAATGTTGTTGATAGTCACTCAGATTTTATATCTAACCTACAGTATTAATTTAATGTAGAGTAACCTTTCATTTGTGGTGCTCAGGGTGAAATTTAACATACCAAATTTTAATGTTAATGTATACAGTGGCATAGCAATTTGTGTTCTGTAGGAAGATTAGAAAGAGATTTATCAATGTAAATTACTGCCACTAATTAAGTAGTAATTCTTTCTCCTGATTTTTTATAAGTAAAACTATCTAAACACTGCTTCAGTGCAGTTAAGACACAGGGTTATAAGGGCACACTTTAGTAGCTAGCTTTAGAAATTTAGATTTGTTTACTGGGTAAAACTTGTCTTTAGTGCTGGAAAATTTATGTTATGTGTAGTAGCTGGAAGTTAATTATTTATCAAGATTCGTAACGTCCTTTATCAAGAGGTTTTAAATTCTTATTTGTTATTAATGAAAACCTTTTCCCAAGGATGTACGACATAAAAATATCAGTCTGCAATTACCATATGTGAACTTTAATATAAGTATACCTATACAATTTCCCTTTGTAATATAGCGAGGTGTACACATAATATAAACAATAAGGTAAAATGTAAGATCCTAATGTAGGTATGTAAATACTTTGGCACTAATTAATTCCATTAATCTGTTAATTTCTGATGTGCATGTTGTATGAATTTTAGTTATGATGAAGGGCTTCGAGACATTCTGTGAAATTATCTGTATAAATTGGGGTAATGTACTGTTAATCAGAGTATTAGGAAGTGAAACTGTAAAATGTATTTTTCTATTATTGCGTGCCAATGACCTAATGCAGTTTGTATATCGACTATTTTTAGCTAATATCATCCAAGTAGATGGAAAATGAATTAAGGTTACTCTGATAAGTCTTTAAAGCATTATATAACTATTTCACTTTAAAGTCTTAATTGATTAGCTATGCCCATGAGGTTATTTTAGATATGTATTTATATTTGTGTTATTATATAGGTATGTTGTTACATGGATTGTTATTTGTATATATTTAAATAAATATAATGTACAAATTTTGATTTTTCTACTTATTCAAGGTTCATGATGTCTGCCACAAATCATTTTTGTGTTATACCTCAAATCTTTGTCAAAAGGTTTAAAATCAAAAAAGGCTTTTAGCCTGGTCAAAGTACACAAAATATCCGTAAAATGCAGCAAAAAGTAAAAAACCTTTTGGAAATTCAAATTTAGGTAGTTAAAAGGATTGTGCTTAATATGAGAAAATCTTTACCAATGTAGGTAAGCAATTTTCCGGAAGAACTTTGGTCGAACATTTTGTTATTTGTTTTTTCACTCTAATTGTTTAAATAATGAAAATACAGAAAAATGTAGCTAAAGAATTTACCTACAAAATTTGTCTGAAGTTTTCTGATATCTTCATTATTTTTTTGAAATATAACAACCGAGACGCTATTACTACACATCAACTCGTCTGCTTCTACAGAGAGCATGCGCGTTGGATCACAGCGCGACGGCGCGTAGAAGCAGCTGCCAGCGGCTTTTAACCTGCTTTTTCACCTTTATTCATACTCCCTTCTCTTTCATAGGTGTCTTCACTGTTCATATGTATCGCGATCACTTCTCTATACAATTAATACCAAGCTGGCAAAAGTCTGAATAATATATAAGCACTGAAAAAAGTTATGTTAGATTTTCTAAAAGACGTCTGATTTTAGCACTTATTATAAATAATTGTCTATTATTTAAAAAATTTGATATTTACAGAAAAACTGTAGGTATTAAGTTTTGAAAGTATATACTTCAAAGTATTTACAGATAAAGTTTCATTGAAATGAATAAGTAATTGAGCGTTGCTATAGTGTTATAATTATGTAATTTTCTAGTATGTTATCGATTTCGGAACTTAGTCCATCGTCAGACCTTGCTAAAATACATGTGTGAAAGGGTGGACATTATAAAATTAGAAGCTTACTGTCAATAAATACATATAACAAAGATGCATTGGTAGTTTAAAATTGATTAAAATTGGTCGAACAACTGGAGCTGAAAGGAAGATTAAGATTAGTGTACCGTGTGTAATTGTGTTTGGGGTGTGTTTGTATTACACACAGTACACTAATCTTAATCTTTCTTTCAGCTCCAGTTGTTTGACCAATTTTAATCAATTTTAACTATTTTAAACTACCAATGCATCTTTGTTATATGTATTTATTGACAGTAAGCTTCTAATTTTATAATGTCCACCCTTTCACACATGTATTTTAGCAAGGTCTGACGATGGACTAAGTTCCGAAATCGATAACCTACTAGAAAATTACATAATAATAAGACTATAGCAATGCTCAATTATTTATTCATAGTATCCTTATAATTCCAAATGGAGCAATTCATCGATAATTTCATTGAAATTATTAACTTTGTCAGTTTTTTCAGTGCATCACAATGTTCAAATTATTAACTTTTAAATCAAGCTTTTAATAAATTCGGCTCATGGGACGTTCGCGGCCACCCACGAATCGACTTATATCTCGTACACTTTTCAATTTACAGAAAAACTTTTCAGACAAATTTTGTAGGTAAATGCATCAGCTACAAATTTTAATTGAAACTTTTTCCGTATATTTAATATTTAAACAATTAGAGTGAAAAAACAAAAACAAAATTTTTCACTCGACAATTTTCCGGAAAATGGCATACCTATCTTCGTAAAGAATTTTTCATATTAAGCACAACCCTTTTGAATACTCAAATTTGAAATTTCAAGAGGTTTTTATTTTTTGTGAAGCTATATGTGTATTGTGTACTTTGACCACGCTATTTCCTCACAATGCTTTAAAAAAGATTTAAACCCTTTAGGATCTTATTTTGGCAACCGAAACATTTTGAACCCTCACTTTATTTGGAAATAATGTTCTGGTCACTACTATATCCACATTTTTAGCGCATTTTTTTTAAACAAAAATGCGCTTTCACGGGCGTTTTCCCGTCTATTCGTGTGAGGGATAAGATCTTGGCACTGGAAAATCGTAGAAAGCTTGGTGGTGTCTCATTTTACTTGATATAGGTTCACCACCTAGTAATGTTTTTTCCTAATCAATTCAGAATGACGCCCAAATTTGGGCAAAATGTTCAATTAAATTCTAACAATGTAGCAATTTATCTAAATTAATATTCCTAAGCGAACCTTGCATGACCTTTCCTAAGTATTAATATACGTCATAGACGATATATTTATTTGACGCAGTTTCGATGCTATACATTTTCATACTTTATACTTTTTATGACGAATGTAAACTTTCCTTAATAAATATTCACTTCACTTCATAACTTGTCACATAATCAAAACTTGAATACGTTACTGATTGCATAAACAGAAATGCTTGGGCTATAATTCAATTCAGAATTTCAGATTCAGAAATTCAGATAGTTTCCAGGAAGATAAATGAAAACCGAAGTGATTATTTAACTTGTAAAGAAAGCGCTCGGTGGGGGGGGGGGGCAGTCAATAAGATCCCATTGTAGAGTAACTTATTGAGTGGAAACAAGTATGCATTTTCAGTGATACAATGAAATTCATCGAGTAAAGATATTAAAAATGTGCCATTCAAGAACACTCAATTCCCATTCATAAGCATAGTTCAAAAAATTAGAAAGTAGGCATAAGTCCACAGATTGAAATAAAAGAAAAAATAAGTTTTATTACAAAAATGGTTGGGAAACCATGAAACACAAACTTGAATCTTAAAAATATTACACCACTATTTTAACAAACACTAAAAAAATGTATATAATGTAATTTTGTACACGATGTAGTTATGCATAGGAATTAAAAATGATTTTATCCATGAGTCTGATCATCTTCAACAAAATCTCTCGCAACCTCACGACTAACACATTCAATATGGCTAACTTTATTCCGAAACTTAACACCATAAAATTTATTTGCATGATCTAACAATTCTGGTCTAAATGTGGTAGTAATGAATTGAGCCTCGCCTGAAAGTTCGTGTATCATGTTGGCGACGGCCTTCCTGTGTTGGGCATCTAAAGCTTGATCTATTTCGTCAAATAAATAAAATGGGGCAGGATCGCATTTCTGAATTGCGAAAATTAAACCTAAAGCTACCAATGATTTTTGTCCGCCCGACAACTGATTCATTTCTCTCATTTCCGCGTCCGACTCTGTAAACGAAACTCTTACTCCTATTCCCGTAAAATTGTCAGAGTTCGTATCTTCGGGACCAATTTCACGTCCTTCTTCGTTATCAACGACTTTCATGACAAGTTTGGCTCTTCCCTGCGGCACTAACTTCTTAAACACTTCAGTGAAGAATTTTGATACTTGCTTGAAAGTAAATTGAATGGCTTCCATTTTGCGTTGCTCTAACATAGCCAACAATTCCTTAATTTTTTCATCCCTAAAAATCCTTAATCATAGTTGCGGCCGCACTAACAACACTCACCCTCTATCAAGTTCCTCCTTTCGTTTTTGGAGTTTTTCTTTCTGATCGGAAAAACTCATAAACTGATCTAATGCCTTCTTATTAACGTGACTATACTTCTTCAGTTGATTATTAGTCTTTTCTAATTCTTTGAATAGCTGTAAAATGGTGTTTGTTATTAATGTGAAAAGATATTGGAAACTTACCGCTCGGGAAGAGTACCGAACATACTGAGAGTATAAATCATCCGCAGGCAACGCACCAAGTTGATTGATTTTTTCAACCGATTCCGTTATTTTTTGTTCTAAAAGATTTTGTTTTGTTGCAAATTTCTCCAAGTGTTTTGCGTCTTCATCAATTTTATCTTGGGCCTCCTTCTCCGTTTTTTTCCATTTGTCCAGTTCTCCTTGTTCTGATTTCAGCTACAATAAGAGTAGTTAGAGTTCTATAAAATGCCAGTAAACTCACCTTCTTCGTCATGTCTTTCACTTTTACTTCCATGACCGACAATTCTTTGTCATATTTTTCCAATTTACGGTCGACGTCCTCGAGCTCCGCTTTTGAATTAATCAATTGTCGCTTACGATCCTCCAAAGAGATTTCCTGTAACGCGTGGAGCACTTCGTCTCGTCTTCTTATTAAGTTATTGGTTAACAAATTGTCCAATTTATTTTTCTCAGCTTCTAATTTCATTCTCATACTAAAGGCATCTTTGTTCTCCCTTTGTAGGCGCTGAATATCATCATTCAATGTATCAACTTCTGCTTGATCTGCCACCGATAACTGGGCCATCAATTCCTGAAATATCAATAGTAGTAAAATGTCAAAAGAGAAGAATCTCTTACTTGGTGAAGTTCGGATTCTAAACCTTCTTTAGTGGTCTGCATTGCTTCCAAGTTTGATTTACATTGGGCTACGGATCGCTCTTTGGGAGTTCGAAACCGTTCTATGCTGGCCAACTCTTCTTTCATCAATCGTAATTCACCCTTCACTTTATCAAAAATTCCCCTAACAAGACGAGAATGAATTAAAAACCATCAATAGTTGTATAAGTACATACTTCGCTTTACTGTTTTTGGTTTCAGTTTTTTGCATCTCTGATACAATACTGTTGATCGTCGATTCGGTTTTACGTAATTCATCCCTGAGACTTGTAAGTTTCTCTTCGCACTGTTTAATTTGTTCCATTAATTCGCTTCGCGTTTTCTGCATTTCTAACCGAGATCGAGATGTGTTAAAGTAACCACCAGTTAAGGAACCCTTAGAAGATACCTGATCTCCGTCAAGTGTTACACAATCTAAACCAGTTGTACGCGCAAGCTTTGTCGCGACGTCCAAATTACGACAGATAAGTGTTTTTCCAAACAGGTACCTTATGGCCTTATCATATTTTTCGTCATATCGCAATTTGGACACCATTGGAATGGCATCCTGAAGAAAGAAAAAAGGTGAGCGAGATCCAAATCAATTTACCAATCATTATGAAAAATGTAGCATTATTATTATTATCTAGGTCGTAATTTGGGATCGATGATAGACACAATAGATCATTTACTGATGAAACAAAATTTATTTGACAAAATCAATCTGAAATAAAGGTACTCAGGATCATAGTACACATACCACGCAACAAGGGATCGATTGAAACAGTTAATTAAATAAATCTTAATTAACTTAAAGTGTTAATAATTCAAAATTTCCGCTCGTAACTGCGATTTTCATTAAATGACGCACTAGAAAACACAAAAACCAACTGATATTACTTCGGAAACTTCACTTCGTTGATTGGAATTAAATTTATCTGGTACTTGAAGACCATAAAGAGATGCTTCCTTATGTGATAACCGTTCGATAAACACAACACTCCGACTACTTCCTTTTTAAACTTCACTTCTTTAATTCGACATTCACTTTAAACAGCGTAATGAAAATCTCTTACAGCATTCCCTTAACTTCTACAAAACTACCACTGGCAACACGGACTGTCTTGCAATAATACGCTCAAATACGGCCAAACTACCAATCACCAAAGCAATAAGGGGCTACGTTTCAACATCGATTAACGTGCACTACCAAAAAAGCCACGATTCACTTCTTCCTCTCCTATTTAAAACATTCTGCCCTCTCTCAGCGCTCAGCGCTAAGACCGGATTTAAATTAGATAAGTTTAACAATGCATAATGGCCATAATTTCTCTAAATGAACAATAAAATAAAATTACTAAGCGATTATTTAAACAAAATTATGCAACAAATAATGCCCAAACAAACTCATATTGACTTCAAATTCAAATACCCTGATCGAAATTGCGTTCAATCTCAAATTAACATCAACATTACCGTATGTGCTGAAAGAAAATAAAAATAACGTCCGCATGACGTACCTTACACAACACTATTTATCTTTTGAATATCGGCTAGTGGTAAAGCTGCTGATACAAAGTTGTTTAAGTGGAAGCAAAGTTGCGTTTTTTGAGGCCAAATCTAACGCTGCTTGGGAATTTAAGAAATTCCGAATACTTTCGGAGATAGCGGCTTTATTTGAAGAGATTTTTGCAAATCTGCAACTTTTCTCCCATATTAGCTAGCATTAGATTTTTAGTTTGACGTGTCGGTTTTTTAGCGTCATCATTAATTTTCTTTTTTTTAAATACGGGCCTGCATTTTTTATTTTCACTAACTTTTTAGTGTTACATTTAATTATAGGGTAGCAGACAACAGTTGAAATGCAAAAAAGGAAGTTTTATTACCATAAATAAATGATGTGAACAGCCTAGTAAATTCTATAATCCGATGGGTCCCAATTGTGAATTCATAAACTAGACAAGTTACGGAGCTTCGATTCCGATTCCAAAAGTTCGAAACTACCAACTGATTTTACACTTTCAATTCTCACAAGTTTTAATCAAAAGTTATATTGGAGATTGACGCACAGCAGCGGCGCGGCCATAATCAGTGCATTCGCCTACAAACAAATTTATACTTGTCGCGCGGGGAACCTTCCACACCCTGTGCATTCTGTCGATTATTCTTTTAGTTATTACTCATTAAATATAATTTGCTTCTTTTGGAGTCACTTCATTTGATTTAATTTACTGTAGTAGCTACCGTTTAATATTTGACATCTCTCTTCTGCTTCCGAATAGATAGTAATGTCACATATAAAACTATACAGGATATACGCGCATGTAAAAAAAAATTGGGCGATAGAGGGGACCAAGACAAGCATTTTTTCCAAATAAACCGAGGGTCCAACGTGTTTTGTTTGGGAGCCACTCCCAAAGAAGTGCTGAAATTTGGATTTCTTCTTTAATTTTTTTCTCAGCAACCATAAAAGTTACAAAGATGAGTGGCACGTCTTGGAATAGGTTTTTGGGTATGCCGTATCCGATTTTGAAAATTTTTTTTCAAAATTCCTGCCACGAAAGGGCGCGCTCTACTTGTGGGTGCGAAAAAATTCTGATTTCGACGAAATTTGGTATCTGGGGGATTTTGAACATGAAAATGACGAATTTGGAATTGGTTTTCGAAAATTTGAAAAAAAAAGTTACACTCCACGCTCAAGGAGTATGTTTGGTAGTCCTTTAATATTTTGTAGCAATATCTAAAATCCATCTACTTTTTCCCGATACTTTTTATACAAACTCTATATGTACTGAGTTTCAAACCTCTAAACCATAGAGGTGCTCTGAATCGCAGTATTCTATTTTAATGTGATGCGTGAAGTCGTAGTATCCAGTGAATCAGATCACAGCGGCTCTGAATAATTATGATGTTTCACAATGTATAGAGTTCACGATGTTATCTCCACGTGGGTGCGCCTATCGATATGTCGATAACTATTGGTACGATAAGATTATGTTATTATTGAGATTTCAACGAGCGCTACTATTTTTATTAATAAAATCCATTTTCGGGTTTACTCTCGTGTAAAGTTACTATTTTTAGTTGCTTGACGTTTCGGAAACTTAACTTTGCTCCCTTTCTCAAGAGAAACGCTACGTCACATCATCATCCATGCCAAATCCACTCATAAGAGGCATCATAGATAAAATTGCCAACACATTTCCTAAAGATAAATTTAGCGTATGTTTTAAACCTCACCGTTCTCTACAACATCTCCTTAGAAATCCCAAAGACAATATCCCAGGTAAAAATAAGGAGTTTACGAAATTCGTTGTACTAATTGTATGAGATCATACATAGGTCAGACCCTGGGTCGGACTAATAGGAGACTAAATGTCAGAGTACAAGAGCAGTTGTTGGCAATTAAACATCATACTACATCTTCTTCAGCAACACACCATCTGGACACTGGCCATTATACTGAACCAAACACTATAAAAGAAACGATAGTTTCCGAATTTCGCAAATATGAAATAAAATACTTATCGATAAGTAAAATATATCGATAGGTAAGTACCCGATACTTATCGAGAGGTGAAAACAGTTATCGCCCATCCTTAGCGATAACTATCGACATATCGATACTTATCGATATATCGATACTTATCGATATATCAATACCTATCGATGTATCGATAGTATTCATATATCTGTCGTAGTCTTTTAGTGAAATCCGTCATTTCACGAAACGCCTAGTCCGAGGCCTAGTCATTTAGTGAAACGCTGAAAATTTGTACGTATGGGGTAATTTCCCTTCCCCTTCTAGATCGATAAGGATACCATTTATCGATTTCCAATGGGAACGGAATCCAATCGCTTGGCCCTGGAAAGTACACTGTGCCACAGTTTCATATAAATGACTAGGCTTTTCGTGAAATGACGGATTTCATTAAAAGACTACGACATATCGATAACTATCGACATATCGATAACTATCGATTACAATGGAGAATAAAATTGATTTGATTTGATTATCAACATATCGATAACTGTCGATATACTGGATACTTATCGATATATCGACAGTTATCGATATTTCGATAGTTATCGATAGGTATCGATATTTCGATAATTATCGGCATATCGATAAGTAAAATATATCGATATGTAAGTACCCGATATTTATCGATACGTGAAAACAGTTATCGCCCATCCCTGTTTGGCTGTTTGTTGGTTGTAGATAATGGCTGCTTTTTCGTAAGCACGTCCATTGGGAAGTACGTAAAGGTCAACCGCAATTACCTCTTCTAAACTGGCCGATTGGTGTTAAAAATTGTTTCTACTCGTTGATCTATTCTTGATGTGTATGGAAAAGCACTTGTGGAACAATATTTAGCACTTTTTCCACTAAATATAACTAATTTAAACGTGCATGTAAAATATGCCTCAAGCTGGTGTCCCAAGATAAGGATGTCTATCATGGGAATCTCGAAAACCACAGAAGATACGAAAATGGTCAAATTAAAGAAAATTTTGCGCAACTAACGAATTATTATCATGCTGTAAATAAAACCACAAAATGCCGATTTACTTCCGAAGATATGCCAGAAAAACCGAAATTTGCTGAGTGGCGATTTTGTTCTTATTTTTTTTCACAGATACGAAAAAATAAGAAAAACACAGGGGGTGTCTCAGGTCGATATTTGTGCTTTTTAAAAGAGTTCTCCACTTGAAGTGATGGTAAATTTACCTACGCTGCAACTTCTCTTGAGGAAAATTGTCTTACACCTAATTAAGAATTAAATGATGAGTACTTGTAATCATGTAAAATTGTTGCCGCTTAACTCAAACTAGGTTGTTGCCGTTCTGAATAACGTTGCAAATATGCTGCAGCAGCTAGGTGGCCATTTCGATGCGACTTGTATTTGTATCAGATTGCTTCTGCACTTAATTTAAAAGACATTTTCGCAATAGAACTAGCACAAAAGTATATGACACTATTTGGAATGGGATCAAACTGTGAAACTTTTGTTCATAAGATCACAACAAAAGAATGTTTTGTTTTTCCAAAGCACTCTTCACAAAATATGAAAAATTGTATTATGAGGAGAAATATGATACTGAACCAAGGATGCTATATAATACAGCCAGGATTGCTCGATCACTGAATTTTTTCGCCGCGTGTAGTGACGTCACTGGCGGACCCAGACGCACCGCATGCTTTGATTTTTCGATTTGTGCACCACTTTCATTTGTATTTTATACCTATTATCTTAGTGTAAAGAACAGTACACTATGATATTATGTATTCTAAGAGCTCCTTCTCACGATGCGTTTTTGAAACGCTGCAGAGTGGAAATTTTCTTCGAAAAAAAGATACGGTTATGCGGAAATCCATTTTTGCCGATGAGAATTTAGCTTTATTTCTCAGATGAGTAAGAACTGAAATTTATTACAAGTCTCTTCTGTACAATTTCTGTTTTAATTTTGGAGTTTGCCACACCGTGCTACAATGGTTTTTACCACACAATATGAAGGGTTTAGCCTAATACGGCTTCGCATTCCTTCAAAGGTCGAACTACAACCCCCACATATCAATAACAACAATCTTAAACATAACAAACTTAGCTTTATATACAAAATATCAGTGCACAAATATGTACGCACTTTACTAAAGTAAATATTACACAAGTAAATCAATTCTCCTCAAATCAGACACCATTCATTAAAAAAAAACGACGCCCCTTCTTGGTATGTGCGCTTTTGTTGCGTGAAGGCGTTTCTGAAAATCGCTTCGTGCTACTTGTGGCGCCAGCCGCTTCAAAAAACGCCTGGTAAGAAGGGGCTCTAATACGGCCAAATGGATGTTATAGGTAGGTATTTAAATTAGAAACACTTGTCATTCCTCGTCTACACTACAACTGTACAAATTCCCCTTCGGTTTTTCGCATAGGTACTCAAAATGTGAACCCATTTCATCCTGCGTTTTTGGTTTTTTTGCTTTTCATCATCCATGGAAATTGCAGCTAAATTGGTTTATTTCAACTTTGTCCATTTTAAAATAACGATTTCTCGACGTTCTTTTTGACACTAGCTAAAATGAGCGCCAGTTGAGTGTAAAATGTGAATACTATCCCAAATTGTTATTACAGCACGTCGGCGTCTAAGCATTTTTGTTGCAATATAGCGAACACTTGTACACACAGTTATAACGCTAATGCAAAAACGTTGACAACTTAGCAAATTATAACTGTCAATTCCAACAGCCAGGTCCGTTGGTGACGTCACATATGACTTAAACATGGGCAACATTAATAATAATAATGCCGGATAGTAAGGAAAGTAATGCATTGAACAAGTCCACAAGTAATAAGTTTTGCGAAAGCCCTTATTACTTTATCCACGACAAGTGAGGAAAAAATTTATAAAAATAATAATATAATAATGGCCTTTATTCACATTCCGTTAAAAAAAAACACAACTAAAATAATATATAAACATGTACAAAGAAAAGAAGAATCGAATTTATGAACCGCAGTGAATGGGCGAAGTTCAGATTAAAATATCTGCTCTTACACTTTACCCACAACACATATATACATTTATTTATGATGGCGAATGAGAATCCTAAGTTATAAAATTTAAAAAGACAAAAAAAAATTCACTTCTGTAGCGTACAAGTATCAAAAAAAAAAATAAAATAAAATAAAAAAAAAATATATAAAAAAAATAGACCAATACAAGTAACCAAATTTTAATTAATTAACACATACATTGACTCTCAAATAACCACTTTTTTGTTTTTATTTTGAATGCCAACAAAGATACATTTTTGAAAGAGTCCGGTAGAGCGGACAAGTATAGGGATCGAGCAATCCTTATATTATATAGCATCCTTGATACTGAACCACCATGTGTAATACATCATTGTAAAGAGAAACAAGTAAAAAGGTTTTCGCCCCAAGGCGAGTAACTTCAGCGCATTTTTCATAAATTGATCAATACTTCCCCAAAGGCCTTACCTATATGCGCTATGTTTTTCATTACTAGAGGCATATATGGTTAAAATGTTAAAGAAATATCTTCATAAATAAGGAAGTTGACACTTACTGCGCAGTTGATATTGCGCTTATTAATCTGGTATTTACAATATGCAATACGTTTGCTTTTACTATAAGCATCTTTGGTTAAAATTTCAAAGAAATATCTCCATAAATAAGAAAGTTGGAATTGCGCAGTCTGCGCATGCGCACATCTGATTTTTACTATAAGCGATATATTTGCCTTTACTACAAGTATCTGTGATTAAAATTTCAACAAAATATATTAATAAATAAAAAAGTTAACATCGCGCAGCCTGCGCATGCCCAGTTCAATTATCAAGATTTTCCTTGACTCAGGTGCCAGAGCGATACGCTACCGAATGCAAAAAGAACGAACTAAATATCTTGAAAACTGTAGGAGTAGTTAAGGCCTCGGACAGACGGACGGACAGAGAAAGTCCGTCCATCATCTTGAAAATGATTAAAAATGGAATGCCTATAAAAAAGTGTCTGAATAATGTTTTGGTTACAAACTCTATCGAAATGTTTAGTACGATTAGCCTATCACAAATAAATTAAAAACGAAAAATGAGAAATTACAAATTTTCGTTTTTTTGCGATATTTCCAAAACTACTGCAGATATTTCAAATTTCTTTACTTTCACTATCTCCTCAAATGGCTCAATTCGACATGGCAATGTTTACCTTTCCATAAATGAAAATTTTATTATGTGTTTTTATTTACTTCTCATTACAAAATTATGGAAGCAACGTTGTTATCATTTACACTTACCCTTTTGTATCTACGTTCACTAATGACGTTACCAATACTTTTTAAGTAGACAAAATGACAAATTGTTTAAGTTACTTACCGCATCCTGCGGATAATCCATGTCCCTAACATTAAGACGATTAAATGGCATGAAAGTCACCTCACCAGGTAACTTCTGCCGATTCATCTCCTTCAAAATTTGAGTTCCAACCTTATCAGAATCTATGACATGATGAAACAGTCTGTTTCCCGCTGTGACCTCCACTGCAGTATATATCGACTTATCACAGTTGAAGTTTTCGATCACCGGCCCATAATATGACCTCACAATCTCCGCATCTCTTCCCCCTCGAGTTGTAAATGTGTCAAGCACCTTACGTACACTATCACGCCCATTTAAGATGGGTTTACCGGCCATTGATCGCAACGCTTGGTCGGCTTTAGCCAAATCTTCTTTTAACGAAGACAAATTTTGTTGAACATTGTTTTCTTTGCGCCACAGTTCACTATAAACACATTTGTTAACACAACTAATAGTAATAATATAGCAACAACTTTCTAGTGGTTTGGTACTGATCCTTGTTTTTCTTGAGCTCGTAACATTGCTTATTGTGCTCATCGATGCACACACGTTGGCGTTCCATTTCTTGAGTTTGCTCTTCAATTTTCTTTGAAAGTTCGACTTGCTTCGCAGCATCTCGCTTAAGATCCTCAGTTAGACGATCTCTGTGTTCACGCTTATCCTTCAACTGCTTATTCAGTGACCTGCAAGGATAAAGATTTTAATAGCTCAGAATCTGTGGACGAAACTATTAATACTTGAGCTCATTTTGAATCCAACGGTCACGTTCATCTTTTGATGTAAATTGACTACCTCGACCTTGCTTGGCATATAACTCTTTTCGTTTCTGTTCTTTTAGAGCCAGTTCACGTGTACACTCTTCTTCCTTCCTTTTCATGCCTTCATATTGAGGTTTTACCTTGAGTAACATATTAAAATTGTTGTTATACAAAAATATGTGAAGTACAAACCTTCTCTAACTCGGCTTCCTTCTCTTTGATCGATTGAGTCAGGCGAGCCAACTCATTTTCGGCACGTTCTTTGGATTTATTATCCCCCTGCACTTCCTCGGTCAAATCTTTTATTGTAAGATCTAATTTGGCCTTCTCTTTAATTGAATGCTGATATTCATTATTTCTCATATCTCTTTCGTCTTTTATGGTAGATAACTCCTTTTTGGATTCTTTTGTCTTTTTAGCTAGTGCCTTAATTTGATCTTGGGCTTTCTTAAGATTGGTCGCCAACTTCTCCTGCTCTGTGCCGGACTCATTTCTCAATTTCTCCAACTGAAACATTCATTTAAGTAACTAAAACAGATTAAGAGAGCCAATTACCTCAGATAATTTCTTTTTAGTTTCGTTTAATTCCACCTCATGAATGATGTACTCGAGGGCACGTCGTATTTTATCATGTTGCTGGTACTGACGAAGCTCTTCTTTCTCTTCTTCAAGAGTGCTCAATCGTTCTTCAATTGTTCTCAAAAATTCTTCGATCTTTTCAACTTTGCCCTCGGTCTCACGCAAAATGGCCAAGGATTCGTCGCGACGTTCATCATACACACGGGTTCCAGCCACCTCTCTTAAAAGCTTTAAGCGATGAGCATCTGGGGCAGTAGCCATTTGATTAATCTATAAAAAACACCATTAAAATCTGAAGTAAAAGTTTAAGACATACTTTTCCTTGTTTAACAATATAATACGGATTAGAATTAGAAAATCCTGCCGATTCTAATAAGTTCATGACTTCACTACGGGGTACCACTTTTTTATTTAAAAAATACTGATCTTTCTTTGCGCCAATCACTCTTCTTAGTAATACCTCTTCATGCTCAATCTAAAAACTCACAATGTACCTACCAAATGACAAGGTTTCGTTTACATACAGGTACTCTGCCATCTGAATTATCAAAAATGATTTCAACATATGCAGAGACCACTCTGGGCCCTGTGCCTTCATGCAGTAGAGCTTGACGCTGCTCTGGTCGTAAGTGCGAAAACTCATCACTAAGGACAAATTGTATAGCTACAAAATCACATTAAAACCACCATTAAAAAATTAGCCCTTTACATACCGTAGAAAAAATTACTTTTTCCAGATCCATTACGTCCAACAACGACGTTATGCCTTTTATCAAAAGGATCAACCACTGTTTGGTCTCGATAGCTCTTAAAGCCTTGTATAATAATCTGGAAAATAGTTTTTAAAGTATCTATGTAGCCACTTAAAATTAACCTCACCTGTTTTATATGCATTTTCAAAGTAAATATAGTAACATTTTTCCTAAACACAAACTAATGGCTGTAATTTAAACAACAGCCAAAAATAAGTCAAAAACCTCCAAAACCAAACAATAACCGCTGCCCGCTACGCCATTATTAATTTATCCCGACAGAGGTCACTACAGTGTTTGAAAGTTAGGTTGCGCTCAACATTCATATCACCAATAATACATACAATGGCCGACAATATTTGCCGGAGCGCTCGAAAAAGTCACGTGACCTTAGGAGGCATATGAAATACATTACGGCTTATGGAAAATGCGTGCGCGGCTCCACTATTTACTTTTTTACTCCTGATCCGTTCAACATAGAGCCACGAAATTTCAATGCGAGCTTGTCAATAGTACATACAATAATTGATAATCAATGATACAATCAAATTATAGTGTTCGTTAATTTTTAATAACACTGGACATAATTTTAAGGTTGAAGTAGATCCGTGATTTTCTGTCTTTACACCATCATATTTCTTTTTATAGGAACAGTATAATTCTTTCGGTGTGTTAAACTAGAATGATATGCCCCTCCGATTATGGGTAACGCGCGTTTTTTTATAGTCGCTTATAGGTAAGCTAGTCATTCCTTGTCTAAGCTTATAAGCGAC